CGCTCCATGATAAATGGTTCTATTAGCAATCCAGATTGTTAAACTGTGATATAACAGATCGGAGAGGGGCGCAGGGGCCCATTCATTTTCCTCCCTTCTGCAACCATGCATGGCTGTAAATAGCTTGTTTTTATGTGTAAATAACATATTAAAACTCGGCATTAGCCATGTCCTTTGATAGAGAGGAAATTGTTCTAAATAAATAACGCGGGACGGGAATATAAAACAGGGCGGGCTGTTATACAGCCGGCGTCGAGGCTCAGAGGTGGGCATGACTTAGGTGACAGGAATTCTGCAGCCAACAGTAAAGCATACGCTGACAATAAAAGCAGCGGCAGTATATTAGGATCGTGCAGTTTCCGCTGTTTGGGAATAAAACTCGCAGGTTCAAGGACCCCGTCTCATCTGCCTCCCGCTCGCACTGCATATTCACTTATCAGGAGCTGGCAACAGGAATAATAATGCATATTACGGAGATAAGTAATTGCTCTGTCTCGACACAGTGGCAGACGGTTGTGGTTTTTAGCACTGATATCTGATTGGTCCAGGCGGGAGCGGGCGGCGGCTGCGGATCGGGGCTTGTTGTTTATTTCAGATTAGAATACGGGGCTCTTACACAGAGCTGATAGGGAGGAAGAGTTATGGAGTTTATTTTAGGTGAGAGGAGATTAAAAAAGTCAGCAGCTGATATTGAAAACGGTCGAATGTGTAAATATACAAGAGGGTGTTTAAGTGAGGTTCAGTTTCGGGTCAAAGAGGCGAGACTCGTAGTTTTACCCTGGACTGATTCTGTATAATCATGGTCAGAGCAGTTCCTCTGGCTGTAAAGGGATAGTTCGGATCTTCTGAAGTTGGGTTGTATGAGGCACTTAACCATTGTCAGTGTTTTACTGATCGTCGATGTAGGTCAGCACGCCTCAAGTTTGGAGAAGCAGACAAAAGTATCGACATGGAAGCAAAGGGGTCAGCAACAAAACACGTTTTAGCCACTTAGAAAAACGTTACATTTAGAATGTTCCTGAGATATGACGTTAAAACATGATGATGTCACAGTCAAGCTGACCTTTGACCTTTTGACCTTCATCATTTTATCCTGTTAGACATTTGTGTCAAGTTTCGTCATAATTAGTGTATGAATTCTTGAGTTATGGACAAAAACATGTTTTGTGAGTCACACTGACCTTTGACCTTTGACCTCCAACCACCAGATTCTAACGAGTTAATTCTTAAATCCAAGTGAATGTTTGTGCCAAATTTGAAGAAATTCCTTCAAGATGTTCTTGAGATATCACGTTCACATGAATGACGTTGACCTTGACCTTTGACCTACGACCACAAAATTCTACTCCTCTAATTCTTCAATCCAAGTGCACGTTTGTGTCAGATTTAAAGGAATTCCCTTAAGGTATTTTTTAAGGTAAGTTTCGTCAGAATTAGTGAATGAATTCTTGAGTTATGGACAAAAACATGTTTTGCGAGGTCACACTAAATTTTGACCTTTGATGTCCAACTACCAATTTCTAATCATTTCATTCTTAAGTCGAAGTGGATGTTTGTGCCAAAGTTGAGGAAACTCCCTTAAAGGCTTCTTGAGATGTTGCGTTCACAAAAATGAGACAGGTGCAGTAACCTTTACCTTAGACCACCAAATTCTCATCAGTTCATCAGTGACTCATAGTGGGTGTTTGTGCCAAATTTTAAAACATTCCCTGAAGGCATTCTTAAGATAAGGCATTCATGTGAATGAGACAAACAAGGTCACAGTGACCTTGACCTTTGACTTATGACAGATAAAAACTAATTTGTTCATTGTTGAGTCAAAGTGGACATTTGTGCCAAACTGTTCCTGTGTTCAGGGAGCTGAAATGACTGTTTTTGTCAATAAAGTCTGGCTTTGTTGAGAGTATAGATAATGACTATTCAGATATTGCTATCTGACGGCAAGGTAAAGCAGTACCCCTGAAAGTTGAAGATGTGTTTTATGTGTATTGTGGTAATCAACATCCGTGACTAAAAAACGTTCACCTCCTTCTTGTTTGGAAGCCGATAACTACAGAAGTAATGATTTGCACATTGTGTAGTTGGAGCTACTTTGTGCTGTAGAAACTGTCCCTGCAGAAACTCAGGGACTGTCCTTTTAATCCAGCGGAGGAAAAGACTTCAGCTTTGTTCAAATATTGAAGAAGACCATGAGAAAAAAACACGGCAGCTCCACATGTAAAAACTGTCCTACATTGATATTCTCTTATGAACAATTAATGTTCGATTTCTTCATCATGGCAGGCCACCAAGTTCTTCATTAAAGAGAAGAAATGTCACTAAATCACTGGCTGTATTTCCATTTCAAAAGTGGCCCGTCACTCTGCATCCACGTCAGTCTCTCTAACATGGTGTCGTTCCACCACTAACTCATCCCTTTTATACTCTGGAGGTAAGAACAAGGTCTTTTAACCTCATTATACCGAGCTTTCATCACGCCTTCGCTGACATCTTTAAAACATGCATCCTCTCTGTCTCTCTCTCTGCACCTCGTGTCGTCCTCACCTCTACTTCCTGGGACATTCGCCGTGAAAATACCTCAGCAGGTTTCTCATGTACTTTAAATATGAGTCAGTGCTTTGACAGGCCGAACTCATACTGCTGTCTTACAGTGTTTAATGCTTCGAGGGGAATATTCCTCGTGGATTTGTTGCTTCAGAGATATCTGTTTCTGAGCTGTGAAGCAGAAACTAAAGTATGCACACAAAACGCCTGCAACATCAAACCTTCCTCCTCCTCCTCCTCCTCCTCCTCCTCCTCCTCGTCCTCCAGAGGCTGCTACATATTTCACAAACTTGTGAGAGAAACTTAAAGGATAAACCCGTTAATCTCAGCGTGTTTTCATTTCAATCAGTAAAATCTATCTTATCCAATCAGTTCATCATACATCGAGAATGTTTGTGCCAAATATGAAGGAACTCCCTCATAATGCTCTTGAGGTATCATGTTCATGAGAATGAGACAGGCAAGGTCACAGTAACCTTGACCTTCGACCTATGACCACCAAATTCTAATCAGTTTATTGTTGAGTCCAAACGAACATTTGTGCCAAATCTGAAGAGATCCCCTCACTGTGTTCTTGAGGTAGTGTGTTGAAGAGAATGAGACACAGGCAAGGTTGCAGTGACCTTGAACTTTTTGGAACCTTTAGTCTGAATGAACGTTTGTGCCAAATTTGATGAGATTCCCTCAAATTCCCCGAAAGATTATTTTCTGGGCGATTTTTGCCTTTCTTGATAGGACATCTAAGATAGACAGGAAAGGTGGGGGAAAGAGGGGAGATGACAGGCAGCAAAAGGGCCACAGGTTGGAATCGAACCTGGGCCACTGCAGAGGACTCTACCAGGCAGACTAGAGGTCGCCCCGTTTGTGCCAAATTTGAAGAAATTCCCTCAAACTATTCTTAAGATGTCACATTCACAAGAATGAGACAGACAAGGTCGCAGTAGCCTTGAGCTTTGAACTATGACAAACCAAATCTAATCAGTTCATTGTTGAGTCTAAATGGACGTTTGTGCCAAATCTGAAGAAAGTCCTGCAAGATGTTTTTAAGGCTTTGTGTTGAAGAGAATGAGACAGAGGCAAGGTCTCAGTGACCTTGAACTTTGATTTGTGCGACACCCTTACGCAAGTCCATCAGCAAAGGAAAACTTAAGCCTTAAAGGTCATACTTAAATTTTATTTTTCATTTTGAAAGAGACTGAATGGAAACGTTGAATTTCCTGTGAAAATTGAAGTGTATTTTGAGCGAAGACTTGACACGCCGCCCGAGAACGTCAACAACCAACACACCCAGGGCACCTTGCAAGTCGTAGGTGGACGTAGAAAGTCCATGAGGATGTGTTTGTCCAGGGTGTACCCAACTTCTCGCCTACTGTCAGCTGATGTAGGCTCCACCCCCCACAACCCCAAACAGGATAAGCGGTTATGCCAGGCTTCAAAGCAACTAAACCAAAAAAAGGTTACTAAAGAACTCTACTTCCACATCTCTTCGTAACGGACACACTACTTCCTGTGTTGGCACTGGATGTACAGTCTGAGCTGCAGATTCGTCCAATAAGAACACGACTCCTTTGGGATACTGGGCTGCGTTGTGTTCCCATATCCAATATAAATTAAGGCGAAATTATGGGGTTGTTTTCTGGTGTGACACCGACTTTCGGGCTCCAGTTCCATCTTTGTTCCTTCTTTATCAATTAATGAGTGTTTCTTTATAATGGCAGGCCACCAAGTCCTTCATTAATGAGTAAAAATGTCACTAAACCACGCGTTTAATTTCCATTTCAAAGGCGGCCCATCAGTCTGCATCTTTGTCAATCTGTGCTGTGGCGTGTCGTCCTCGGCTCTACCAGCCCCAGCCATTTTTTTTTTTTTTTTTTTTTTGCCTTTATACTCTGGAGGTAAGAACAAGGTCTTTCAGCCTCATTATACGGAGCTTTCATCACACGTTCACTGACATCTTTAAAACATGTACTCTCTCTTTCTGCCTGTCCCTCCCCTGCGAGAGCGGATCGGTGCTACTCTTCATTTAGTTCAACAACACAAACACTCGTTCTCACCTGCCCCGACCCCCTCTCTTCTCTTGTCATGTTATCTATTCATCAGTGTTTATGGGCTCAAATGGTGCCACACTCCTCGACGGCACGCACCGGGCCTTGATACGGGGGCGATCCGCATTAACGATGCTCTTTCAAGACCCGGGTCTATTTAGGATTCCTATCAGACATCTACTGTAAGTCACCTCTGACTGCTGCTGGTGCCTTATCAGGCCTGAGGAGAGCCGGCTCCCGAGATGGCACTTTATCTTTGAAATGTATATTTCATCGGCCGTGTTCGCTCCCCCTTTGCCCCCTGGCTGAGCACCTGCGAGACCTCGGCAGTGTGCGGAGGCCTGACAGACAGCTGGACACCACATTCACATCCAGCTCAGCTTTAAAAAAAAAAAAAAAAGAGCGTGTTACCTCTCGTCTCTGAGGGTTTCTTCGGGAGGTCGGAGAATCCACTCCCGTCCATTTTGTCTTTTTTCTCGGAGGCTCTCGATGCGGAAGTCTCCATCGCCAAACGAACTCTGGAAGTGAAAGAAACACAAAAGGAGCTGTTAATGGAGAATGAGTGGAGAGCACTCAGAGGGCCTCGCTGTGTTCATTTGGGATGAGATGAGGACACTCAGGACTTGGACGCTCCTGCTGGAGAGCGCCCATGAAAAGGCTCGTCAGGGGTGAGACAAAGACCAGAAGAGTTTAAGAAACCAGAGGGTAAGAACTGTTTTACCGCCAAGTAGGTCTGCACAAACGAGGGATTTGTCCAACTAATTTGGTGCGTAACAATAAACACAATGCAAAAGTGAAGAGACGGAGGATGAAATAGAAAAACGCAATTCAATTTACAGTAATATAAAATGCAAAAAAGCTGCAAATTTGAGAAGCTCGAACCCGAGAATTATGGGTATTTTTGCCTCATAAATGTCTGAAACGAGTAAATAACCTTGAAGTTGATCATTTACTAATATTAGCATGGCTGTAAACTTGTTTCTCAAAAACTATTATTATGATTAAATATGTGTCACTGGAGCCAAAATGGCGCCCAGTGTTCAACCCTTCAGCTGCTGCTGGATCCAATCTGAGTCCTCTGCATCACTAACGAAACTTAACAGCTTCCTAAATGTTTAGTTTTTAAAGGACGATCTCAGTGAGATTAAGCAGCCTGAATAAAGAGCCTCAGAGTCTTTGAAGATAAAGTCATATTGTTCTAACAGCTCAGGCCACAAAGCCTGTGTGAATGGCGCTGGCGGAAAGGTCAATAGTCAAATAAACTTTGATGACATGTGAGCTAAGACCTCCTCCTCACCCCCCGTCCCCTTTAACCCCTCAAACCCCCACGCTTTGACCCCCATGTCCACAGATTGAGCTGTGAAGCCTCGGCGGGGGTTCGCGGGAAAACAGAAGCCCTGACACGTTTGCCCGACGCTCGAGGATAATCTCAGAGGTTGAGGAAAGACAAACATGTAGCAGAGTGTGTGCAGAGTCAGGCAACACGTGGAGACACGCCAGTCAGTTACATGGAGGTTCACGGCGTCATGATACTGTTTGCATCCGGTAGTTACATCATAGATATAGAAACATAGACTGCTGGACTGTACGACAACGTAGACGTAGACAAATACAAGTAAACAGAGGAGCTGCATTTTTTTTTTCTGGATAAAATGCACTATTTCACAACTGATCTCATGAAGTTGATTTTATATTCATTGTATTCTCAATATTCAGGCTATAACCGCTGCTCAGTGCTCAGTAGACGTTTGACATTCATAATATAATTCAATGTGGAAGTAGGCAACTTTTTAAGTGCTGTCCTGAAGTCCTGACAAAGTTGCAGCTCACGAACGTTAGCATGCTAGCTAACACTGGTACTCAGAAACAAACATCAACGATCCATTGTCCATTTGATAATCCAAACAAAGAACATGTTTTCTTGCAGTTACAGAAAAACAACTACAGTATATATTGTTCTGCATGATAAGTACTTACTTTTAGTACTTATATTTTGATGCTAATACTTACATGTACTTGTACTTGAGTCTGAAGACAGGAGTATTTTAACACTGTAGTATTACTTCTTTTACCACAGAAAAACCGAATCACAATGTTTATTTAGAGCAACTTCCAGTTGTCTCAGTTAGTTTTTAGCCACCTAAAAAGGCCCACCAAAAATTGACGGTGATTTGAGGCCATTACATCAAAGCCACCAGACTCTATTGACAAAACCAGTAATTTAACTCAGCAGAACATGAGAGTTTTGTGTAAGGTAAAGTGGAACAAATATTCATATATAGTGACGTACAGGTTTCGCTGCAGCCTCGTCCACAGCGGTATATTGTTTCGCTGCCCTGTTGGTCAATTTGTTTTATCAGAGATGATAGCAATGCAACACAATACATAAACCTAGAAAATTTTGCAACGAGTGCTTGCTGCCCTCACCAAGTACTATTACTGCAAACTACGTGTAATACTTCCTACATGTACCACAGTTACTGACCATTGTCACGTTTTTGTGACCAGCACGAATTTCCCTACGTTTTGATGTATAAATCGTGTATGTAGAGTGAAAGTTGTGGCAGCGAGAGCAAATTGTTCTCCACGCTCTAGCGATGATGTCACCACTCTAGCGCTCTCCCATAGACACCCATTATAAAATCTGAAATGTCTGAAAAATGTTGTAAAATGCAAACTGTAATTTTATCAACACTGTACTAGATATAAAAAAGCAACTTAGCCCAATAAAGTCCAGAATCTCATGAGCCGTTCAAACTTTGAATCATGATTTCTCGACTATCTCCAATCACTTTTTCAATGGAAAATTTTACGCGCTGTTTTGCGAATTTCGTAAAAACCACTTGGTGAATCTCTGAGAAAGGTCATAGCCTCCATTCTTGAATTTTCCGCACGTTTTGATGTATTTTTTTGCCGATGTGTTGGCAATGCTGCAAGACGAGTTTCGCGGCGAAATTTATACGGAAGATGAAGAATACGTAAAAGAAAAATCAACGCGAAGAATAGGAACATGTTGTCAGACGTCAGATAGGTTACGACTGAAAATGACGACAGAAATAAACAAGTTTGCCATTTTCACATATCTCCACATTGTCATCACCTGCCAGTCGTCAACCTGGAAGTGATTGTTGTTGTTAGTGTGACGTCACTGTGATTTGCTCTATTGAAATCGACGACCTTTAACTGTAAGAAGCTGTTAACAGTTTCAGGAACCAGTCTGGTGACCTTCTGGTTACGGGACGGCCCCAGTAACACCACCACCCAACAATGCGTCGGTTGTAGGTCACACACTTGGATGAAGCGACAGTCCATTGAGTCTGTAAACGAGCAGTTTACTGGCTCTTTAACAAAGCTGAGCGTCTGACTGACAGTTGTGTCTGGTGTCTTTATTGCCGCGGATGAATCAGTGTAACAGGTGTGAGAGGCCGGGAGTGAAGCCTCATGGGAAGTCCCTCACACACACACACACACACACACACACACACACACACAAAGCCCCCTTTAGCTGAGGTGATATATGAGGCACATAATGGCAGTCTTTCACGCTCACACTCCTCTGATCTGTCCTCGCAAATCATTATTAGTCAAGCTTAACATTTGCTGTTCACACATTTAGCAGCTCAGTGACGGCGGTTAGCGCTGCAGCCTTGAAGATTCAACTAACTTTAATTGTACTGAGGTTCTTGGCGTGAGTGTAGATGGTTTTAAAATGTTCCCCGACACCAAACAAAAGAGAGGTGGTGATGCTAACAGAAACATCAAATTAAACATATATAATCGCAAACTGCCAGAGATGCAGGAAGTGTTTACATGCAGTAAAAGTACTGCTTGGTGTATTTTGGGTGTTTTTGCGCCCTTTAAAACTACAATGCTAACATTTCCCTAGCATTTTAACTTCTTATCTTGTAGCACGATAAGTATAATTTTGGCATTGTGGTGTGAGAAAAGCTTTTCACTAATAGTCATCCTTTCTTACATATCCAAGAAAATGATGATTGGTTTGTATCCGGAAGCTTTTAATAGAATAAATAGTAGAATTAGCAAACAAGTTTGTTAGCTATTAGCATCTGTTAGCATTGCCGCCTTGGAAAAGCTTTGAACTGCCTTTCCTGGTCACACATTTATATGCAGGTATGTGTATATTTCTGAAAATGTAACTTCTAAATGTGGACAGTTTAAAGCTTGTTTGCTAACGTATCTTCCAATAGCACACACTAAGGCTAGCTGAATTAAAGCTAGAATTGCTGCTTTGTGGTTGTGCGCCTCTGCGTACTGTCAAGTTGAAAGTAAAGATCTATACAATCAGCACAGTTTCAAGATTAGAGTCACCACTTCAGTATCTGACCAAATGTCTCCCCTTCTGTTCCTGAGATATGACGTTAAAACATGATGATGTCACAGTCAAGCTGACCTTTGACCTTTTGACCTTCATTATTTTACCCTGTTAGACATTTGTGTCAAGTTTGGTCAGAATTAGTGAATGAATTCTTGAGTTATGGACAAAAACATGTTTTGCGAGGTCACACTAAATTTTGGCCTTTGATGTTCAACTGTCAATTTCTAATCATTTTAATCTTAAGTCGAAGTGGATGTTTGTGCCAAAGTTGAGGAAACTCCCTGAAGTCTTTCTTGAGATGTTGCGTTCACAAAAATGAAACAGGTGCAGTAACCTTTACCTTAGACCACCAAATTCTAATCAGTTCATCAGTGACTCAAAGTGGGTGTTTGTGTCAAATTTGAAAAGATTCCCTTAAGGCATTCTTAACATAAGGCATTCATGTGAATGAGACAAACAAGGTGACAGTGACCTTGACCTTTGACTTATGACCAAAGAAAACTAATTTGTTCATTGTTGAGTCCAAGTGGACATTTGTGCCAAACTGTTCCTGTGTTCAGGGAGCTGAAATGACTGTTTTTGTCAATAAAGTTTTGACCTTTTGGACATAAACAGAGCTTTGGTTTGAGGCATAACCAGCTACTTATTTTTACTTATTTTTACTTATTTTCTGAAATACTAAATCATGCAGAATGAGAGACGTGGATCTGGTGACTCAGGAGAGAGTCCACCTACACATCAGTGACTTTACTGACGACCACGTTAGCAAGTCAACAGCTCAGTTAGTGGTGTAATTAACCGTCACCTCCCACTGCTGACTGTGGGCTCCTCTCAAAGGGCTCACAATGAGTCATTAAAGAGACCCCCACAATAAAGTTATTTAAGTGAACGGCTTCAGAGGAGCCCCTCCCCCTCTGTCTCTACAAAGGCTTTGTGCTGAAAGCAGTTGTTCTGTTAATTCACCCTCTCATCTTAAACCAACACTTGTTTTAGTTTCAGTCACTCAGAGAAACACACTCACTCACCTTTTACATATATTTCAATATTTAATACTACATGATTTCTGCACAGTTATCACAAATATGTATTTCTCTACAGTTTTACTTGCACTTATTTAGTGATTACTTGATGTTCACTTGAAATTTTATTTTTCTTTTTATGCATTTTAACTTTTACACTGCA